CTGAAAAAGTGAAGGACTTTGATCAGCGTCCTTACTCCACACAGCTCGCCACAGGAAGCCGCAGCAGAGGGACGCAGGTTGCCGACCCCTGCATTAGCATATGCTGGTTCCAATAGAGTTTAAATGATAATTCTCAAAATATAATAGGCTGCATAATGAGTGATGTTCATGTAGAAACAAACCACATGCACACACAAATGCACAAAAATAAGAATGAAGTCTCACTCTACCTGAGCTCTGCTATTCCACTGTTTCCATACATGCAGGCACATAAAGCTGGACAGGAGTGGACCGCCAACAGAGTGGATTGCAAGATTTGAACGAGGACCAGCAGATACATCCTTCATCAGACAAACCCTGCACTCAGACAGGCCCTCTGTATCTCCATATTCCCAGTCCTCTCCAGTCTGTGGTTGTGACCACAGAGCAGAGTGAAACTGAATCCCAGATTAGCTGGGATTACACTGCTTACAAGTGGCATGTAATCCCACGCCTCACTGTCAGAATAACAAATCACAACATCAGGGCCAGCCCATGCCTTTTTTGGGCCTTGATAACAATTTGACCCAGTACCAGATCTCACACAATGGGAGAAAGTGGTGACCCTCTCTTATGTACTCCACACTCAGCAGCCACCTCATCAGTATGCTGAATGCATCTCGTCACTTGTTCAGTTTAAGGAAAGCACTGCAGAAGTCACTCCAACACCGTTTTCTGAGGAACTTTGGAAATGTCACAATGGAGGCACAGCTCATCTTGCCGTAGAGCTTCCATTTGGACATATGGTCTACATCAGTGATAACCCAACCTGGGGGTCGGGACCCCTAGTGGGGCTTGCAAGGCCAACAATCAAAAGTTCCTTAAACAGGAAAAAATCTGCTCAAAATGAATCCAAATCACTCATTTTACACAAACTTCCTGTAGTTAGTTCACTGTTTGGGTTCATTGTACAGTTTTGAATATAATTTGTCACTTAGTCAGGGGTTGATAGAAAAGGGGTCCCTTAAGTAAAAAGGTTGGGAACCACTGGTCTTCATGATGTTGTCATCATCACAGAACCCTTTGACCTCACAGTCACACAGACCACTGCAGCCAAAGCAGCAACATTCCTATCTACTGTTCTGTATTTATTCTGTTTATTTAGTTAGTGAGCTCTGCTTTAGGTAAACTTTAAAGTATAACTTATATTGCCAGAGACAAACGCTAAGACAGCAACAACCTCCTCCTCCTCCTGGCTTTTAGTTGCCTCCTCAGCTCAGCAGCCTCCTCTTCTGCTTCTCATCTAATATTTTGTCACACAAAGAAATTGCAAATTTTTTCACAATATATTAACATCATTTGGCAGCAAAAGTGTTTTTGCATTTAGCTACAATGTGATGTTTTGCACTAATTGGGAGGATGTTAATTATGATATCTCTGACAGTGCACCAGGGGGTGAAGGCTAGGGGGCACAGAGCCCTGCAAAGGCCTGCTGGAGAGCCAGTGTTTGGGATTTGGGGTAAGGCTTAAAGGGCTGTCTTTATTTAACCCTGGGCATGTTGCCCACAGAGGGGCGGGGCCTGCAACTGGGAGTGAGCTTTGCTGGTGACACAAGGGATGGGGACTTTGACTTTTTGTTTGTTCTTGTATTTTGCTGCATTATGTAAAACAAAAGACAAAAACAGAATTAGTGAAGCCAAAAGAAACACAGGGGCACGGCGGCGTCTGAAGTGGTGGCAGGGCTCTCAGGGGCAGAAAGAGGGGTAAGGATTGCTGATGACACAAGGGATGGGGCAACCATATTGCTTCATTCATCACTTTCATACCTCAAAGTTATTTTTACAGATATAAAAAGGAGATTGATGTATGCTCACTTTGTCAACTGGCTCCAGATGATTTTTGTCATCCTTGTCCATCCTTCCCCATCCTTGTTATTTTTATATATAGATATTTGTGCTTTTACTTTCTAGTACATAGTTTCTGTTTCACCCTTTCATATGAAAATGTAATGATTTGCTTTTTCTCTTACCCTTCTATCAAAAGAAATCAATCAATTTGATCCTACTTCTTACAAATTCACACATCCATAAATCAAAATTTCCCAATTATAACCATCACTATTAAGTTTTAAAAATTAAGTCAAACAATGTTACATTACTCTCATACTCATACTATGATTTCTGTGTCCCCTGGCAGTGTGCGTTCATGTACTGTTTGTGATTGTGTTTGTGTTTAGATTGACATTAACGCTGAAGTCTCTTAAACCTGCATTCTATGTAAAGCCCAGCAGGGGGAGCTCCATTGGC